AGGAAGCTGGTTATGCTGACCAGTCGTTCTTTAACTGAAGTTCCCAGATGGCTTAGTGGTAAAGAATCTGCCTGCCAGTGCAGGAGATGCAGGTTCGATCCCTGAGTCAGGAAGATTGCCTGGAAGGAGGAAATGGCAACCCACTCCAGTATTCTTGCCTGGGAAATCCCATGGACAGAGGAGCCTGGTGGGCTACAGTCTATGGGGTCGCAAAGAGTTGGATACAACTGAGCACAACAGCAGGAATAAATACAAAAGAAAGACACACCAGATGGACTCTAGGATGAGAGGTAGTCAGTGGGAAGATCACTTCAAATGGATATTGTGCTAAAAATCCTTAGCCACAAATAAGAACAACTGCCCTCAGGCAAAGTCAGGTGGTGGGGACCCAGTGTATTATTTTAGTCTACACGCAAGGGCTGTGTTGATATAATTCATGTAGCTGGGAACCAAGGACTTGATGGAAGCCTCTGATGAACAGAGAAATTGGTCTTATTATAGATAATCAAGACTCTCGCTATGGCTTTTATGGGAGTGTGAGATAATTCCATTGAGATACTGAAAGCTGAAAATTCTGCTTATTTCTTTCAGAATAAAAGGGAGATTATGAAACACTCTGTGTGGTGAAATAGACATGATGAGTAAGAAATGCTTCAGTAAAAGTGAAAAGCCAGTTTGGACAGAGAAAACATAAGTGTGAACCTAAGCATGACTTGGAAAGGGAAAAGATGAATGTAGCCAACCACTAAATGCTTTTCACTAGTAGCTGTTACCTCCTGAACAAACAGAATGGCAAAGCCACAGAGTTTTAACATTGAAGGTCCTGCTTTCTGTCCTTTGTTACAAGGACACCTGAAAATGAGTTCGAAAATGGCAAATCTAAAGGTGGAAAATAACATCTGGTATTCCTTTTCTTAAAAAACAAAACAAGCACTGTAAAACAAAGGTAAATTTTATAACATTTTCAAGAATAGCATTTGGATGTAATATTTTCTGATTCCTTGACTATTTTAGAATGATTTTCTTTCTTTTTTTTTAAACCCATAAGAGAGAATCAGTTATGGAACCAAATCCTTGCAACACAATTTTCCTCTTAAAATCTCAAAGGTGCCAGTTCCTCATCTAGCATTTAGTATAGTGTGAGAGATACATAAGGCAGGTCTGCTTTTGTTCCTGATTTTTTTAGGGTTTTTTAAATTTTTTTTTATGCTTTCAACATTTTATTAAGATATATGTAACTGCAATTCTCATTTAATTGGTTTTACCTGAAAATTGGTAAGTCTTATCAACTGGCTTATTTCATTGATTTTCTACTTTATAAATGATTTTAAAATTGTATTTTAGCACTATTTCCTTTTAAAAAAGTAATTATATTATGATAAAAAACACTTAGCATCATATCTACCATAAAATATGTTAAGCGTACAATGTATCATTGTTGACCGCAGGCACAGTGTTGAATAGCAGATCTCTAGCGCTTATTCATCTGAAATGTCACATGTGTTGATTAATAATTCCTTCTAGCTCACATTATATCTTCTCTGAAAATTCTGTTTCCTTCTCAGGAATGCCATAATCTTTAGGTAGGTTGACTTGCCTTCCTCTGACTTTTGCGTCTCACCGACTCTAACAGTTTTCATGTCTGTGTCTCTTTCCTCTTCCACCTGGAATGCCAACCAGTGGACTGCAAGGAGGTCCAACCAGTCCATCCTTAAGAAAATCAGTCCTGAATATTCACTGGAAGGACTGATGCTGAAGCTGAAACTCCAATACTTTGGGCGCCTGATGCGAAGAATTGACTCATTTGAAAAGACCCTGCTGCTGGGAGAGATTGAGGGCAGGAGGAGAAAGGGAGAACAGTGGATGAGATGGTTGGATGGCATCACCAACTCAATGGACATGAGTTTGAGTAAACTCCGGGAGTTGGTGATGGACAGGGAGGCCTGGCCTGCTGCAGTCCATGGGGTCATAAAGAGTTGGACATGACTGAGCGACTGACCTCAACTGAATTGAACTGTATTCTATTTTATGTGGTGAGGGATAGAGTGGTTTGTGTGTGCATGTGCGTATGTACTTAGCACCACAACTCACCACATTAGTGGAAGAAATACCTCTGGCTGTTCAAGGATCTGTTTCCTGGGACTAAAAGTAACCATCCTTGTGTCCTCAGGTGAGTTATTTTCTCAAAACGAGGTGATTTTAACAACACAATTATTAATTAATAATGTATTAGTTGCCTATTTTATATATAGAAGTGTGTATATGTCAATCAATCTCCCAGTTTATTCCTTCCTCCCCTTTCCCCATTAGTATCCGAGAGGTTGTTTTCTATATCTGTAATTGTATTTCTGTTTTGTAAATAAGTCTATTTGCACCATTTTTTTGATTCCCCATATAGCAATGTCATATGATATTTGTCTTTTGCTGTCTGACTTCCTTCACTCAGTATGACAATCTTTAGATCCATCCGTGGTCCATTATATGGCTACATCGCCATTCATTTTTCCATTCATCCATTGATGGACACTTTTATATTTCCACTTTTTGGTGATTGTGAATAGTGATGCTAAGAGCATTCATGTACAAGTTTTGTTTTAATAAATAAAATATTATTCAAATACATAAAATAAAAATAAGAATTTCCTAAACTTATTGAGGAACCATCAAACTTTTTCTACAATAGCTGCACCATTTTACTTTCCCATCAGCAATGTATGAAGATTCTGATTTCTCCACACTGTTACTAATACTGTCTACTTTCCAATATATTATTCTTGCTACTTTTTTTTTTTTAAATGACTATCCTAGGGCAAGTGAAGTGGAATCTCTCTGAGTCTTTGATTGCATTTCCCAAATGATTAATGATGTTGAGCATCTTTTCATGTGCTTGTTGGCCATTTGTATTTCTTCTCTAGAGAAATGTCTAAGTCCTGTGCCCAATTTTTAATTGGGTTGTTTGACTAATTATTATTTAATTGTATCAAGTTTTTTTAATATATAAAAATGTTTGATGCTGTTTTTCAGTCTCTCAGTCATGTTCATGTCTGACTCTTTGCGACCCCGTAGACTGCAGCACGCCAGGCTCCCCTATCCTTCACCATCTCCCAGAGCTTGCTCAAACTCATGTTCATTGCATCGGTTATGCCATCCAACCATCTCATAATGGCATATGTTTCAAACCCGTGTATCTTTCATCTCTCCTTATACTGTTTTCTTCTATTTATAAGTGTAATACACATCAGAATAATTATCTTCTGTGTTGGAACAAAATGAACTACAGTTTCTTTCAACCCTGTAATTATAGAAACCAATGAACCTATGACCAGATTAATAAGACCATTCAGTGAACTTGATTTTCTACTTTAGCTTCCTTGAGAATGGCACACCTGACTCTCCAGACTGTTTATGCAGTTCTTCCTTAGTGCTTGCATTCCAAGTCTGTGACTGACTTGAAAATAGATTAAAGTGTAGGAGAAAATGTGGGTGATAAAACCTGATACTCTTAATTTATTTCTCACCCAAATGAGCTGATTTTCCAACATAGTTCATGAAATTTCCAACTGTACAGAAAACAGTTTCCAAACTATAATTTCACAACTATTTGGGCTTTAATGCTAGAAAAAATATACCATACACCTTTACCTTAAATGTTCTCTGCATCAGGTAAGTATAAATAGCGAGGATGAATACAAATTATAAAGCATGCTTTTTATTGTGTCATCTACGAAGGTGACTTTTTAAAAAATGACCCATACATTTGGGTATATGCACTTCAGTGTTTTCATTGAACAATAATCCTTGTCTCTTATAGAGAGGTCAATTTAGAATTGTAATTATTCATTGGAATCCTTGAACTTTTAGGATGTATTGTTTCGGTATGGAAGCCTGTTTTCTCAGGGTTAAATCAATCTGTTTATACATTTAAAATTTCAGTTATTTTTAATTAGCAGATAATTGCTTTACAAAATTGTGTTGGCTTCTGCAATACATCAACATGAGTCAGCCATAGGTAAGCATATGTCCCCTCCCTCTTGAACTTCCCTCCTACCTCCCACCCCATCCCACTCCTCTCGGTTGGTAATTTTTATCACAGGTGATTTTAGACATAGGTTCAGAGCAATGAGCCATAAAAAAGGAGTTGCAAATTTTAATATTTATTATTTACTGTTTGAATCACACTTAGACACTGTCTTAATATCTATTTTATAATTACATAGTGCTTTGTGAACCTTTTTGTTGGCACAGAGAGGTAAAGTTCCCAAGTAACTTCCCTTTAAGTCCTATTTTAGTAGGTGCTTTTACAAAGTACAAACAAGCCGGTGAATAAGGGTATCCTTTGTTAGGACCCACTTCCTTTGCTTAATCTTTCTAGAACTGGAATCTCTGAACTGAATGTCTGCCCCCCATTCCCATGGGTGCCCACCCTGCTCACCTATGCCCTTACTCACCTCCAGAAGTATGGGGCTGCCACCTGACATCTCTTTGTCAAAATCCATTTTCTTGGTAAGACTCGTGGTCAAACATATTTGCTGCAAATTGGTTAAACAGGGGCAGGAGACCACCTAAGTGGTCTTGTAGCTATTATGCAGCTGGGAGTGTGTCCATGTGTCCAACTGTGGTAGATGCTGGCCAGTCAGAAGCTACTAGAAGGCAGGGACCATGTCTTTGCGTGTCTCTGTCCCCATCACCTGGCCTAGCACCAGGTACTAAGTAACCATCACCCCAGTGGTTCTTCTGCCACTGAAGCCTCTATGTGCCAAGTTATTGGTCAAGTCCTGAATACGATGAAGCCTGTCTATTTTTAGGCAGAAAAAAGTATCCAGTAACTTCTGCCCACAGCCTTAGTCAGTAGACCAGATAAATGTGCTCATTCCTCATTAGTGTCCCCAAACCTATAAATGTCCCATTTTTGTGACCTGTCCTCTCCATTTCACTTGGCTCTTTCATCAGATTTGCTTTTCTGCACAGCAGGGCGGGGAGACCTGAGGGAACTTTAAAACATGAAGGTCCTCTTTCTGTTCACTGTTCTCTTCTGTTTGGTCCAAATGAACTCAGGTAAATGTCTCCTGGTCAGGGTAGAAAGCTGCTCCCAACCAGTAGGGATGAGCTGGGAGAGGCTGGGGAAGGCTGTGCAGGAATTCCACTGATGTGTGTGTCCCTGGCGGGGATGGGCGGGAGGTGTCTGTGTGTTGGTGGTGGGTGCAGGCGGATCCCTCTGGGGCTCAGCTCTGGACCATTTTGATCTTCCCTACAAAGAGGTTTTTAGAGGCTAAATATGAGTTTTCAGGGTCATAAAACAAGTCAAAGAGGCATCTTTGCTCCAATACAAATAGAAAAGATTCATCACAGTCTGAGAAAAGTTTGCAGAAAGAAATTACAATCGCCCAAATGTCAAAGCTGGAAAGGAATGAATCCTCTATGGAAGCCCCACACTTTACAGGGGGAGGAAACAACACTCCCAAGAAAGGCTGCTGTCCTGCAGAGAAATTTACAGTCACGGTCACAGCAGCAGTTCCTACTGACGATAGCATTCCTCCAGCTTCCACAGAAAGCCTGTTTTACAGAGGAAATCTGAGGCACAAGCTGTTACATGAGTTATCTAAGGAGAAATCATTAGCTACTGGGAGAAGTGAGGCCAGACCTGATCTCCAGATTTCTGAGCTGTGGTTCTTTGACCTTCATTAGGTATGTCACCCATCGCTTCATTGGGCTCCTCTCCCAACCATGGTAGAACTGAGATAGCATAGGCTCAGAGAGTGTACCCTGTTTGGAGATGAGATATTGTACAAGGTTGCATTTTTAAATCATGCAAGGCCAACACTGTGAGTGTTTTGGGTTTTGAATAATTTTATTTATTTATTTATTTTGGGGTGCACTGAGTTTTCATCACTGCACACAGGCTCTTCTCTAGTTGCAGCGAGCAGGGGCTACTTTTCATTGCAGTGTGCAGGCTTTTCATTGCTATGGTTTCTCTTGTTGGGGAGCATGGGCTCCAGGGTGCTCAGGCTTCAGTAGTTGCGGCCTTTGGGCTCAGTAATTGTGGCTTCCAGGTTCTAGAGCACAGGCTCAATAGTTGTGGCACATGGGCCTAGCTGCTTCCTGGAATATGGGATCTTCCTGGATCAGGGATCAAACCCGTGTCTTCTGCATTGGAAGGTGGCTTCTTTACCACTGAGCCACCAGCAAAGCTTGTTTTCTTTTTTTTTTTTTTTGAGTCAAGATAGATTGACATTTGGAGATCTGATATAAGACCTTTCTTTCAATCATCTCATTCCCAAATAGAAAATGCTGTTTTTTAAAAAATTGAGATATATTCAACATACAATATTAGTTTCAGGTGTACAACATAATGATTCCATATTTGTACAGATTGCAAAATAATCAGCCTAAGTCCATTCGACATCCATTACCACATGTAGTTCCTTTTTTTTTTTTTCTTGTGACAAATAGAAAATGTTTTCCTTATGGGAACATTGGGTAGTTCTGCTTAACCTATCGATCCACAAGTCATGGTTAGGAGAACTCAGTTTTCTTTTCTTTATTTCATTTTAGGCTGTAAAACTGAAAATTAGGCCACAGCCTGAGGATCAGAACACTTTCCTATTTTCCTAAAGACCAAGACTCATCCCTCCAATCACTGCACTCTGTTCTCCAAAACTCCGTTTTTCCTTATTGTATTAGCTCACATCCACCACCAGGAGGCTTGAGAAGCGTGATACAATACAATAACATATACAAATACGTGTATTATATATACCTTCCCAACAACTTTTAGAGGTATGGATTATTGTCCCTGGTGCTGGGAAAGATTGAAGGCAAAAGGAGAAGGGGGCAGCAGAGGATGAGAATGGTTAGATTCATGTTCATTCATGTTCATAGATTAACCACCGACCCAATGAAACATGAATCTGAGCAAACTCTGGGAGATAGTAAAAGACAGAGGAGCCTGGCGTGCTACAATCCATGAGGTTGCAAAGAGTCAGAAATGACTTAGCAATTGAACAACAACAACAAAATGGATCATCCCTGTTTTATTGTTCCAGTTGAACTGGAACCTGTCCAGACAATTTTTTAAGAGTATGATAAACATTGTGGAGGTGGCCTATGTTCATCCTTTATTCTTTTGCTGTGTGAACTAATTTGTTTATTTGTTCTATCCATAGGGGATGTTCCACCTGGAATTAGAAATATTATCTGCCTTATGCAACATGGAACCTGCAGACTTTTTTTCTGCCGTTCTGGTGAGAAAAAATCTGAAATCTGCTCCGACCCCTGGAATAGGTGCTGCATACCACATTCAGAGGAAGAAAAAAAATACAGACCAGAGATGGATGGCGATCAGGCACCTAGAACGTAAGCTTCCAGAAAGCAGGCGGGATCTTGAAGTATGCTAAGGGTTTAGAAGAATGTGTGACTTACAGCAGGTGCTCAACAAACATTTGTTGAATGAATCCAGCATCAAGGGTGAAGGTCTGATAAAAGATTTTTCCCAAAAGTTTGCCTACTTTCTTTTTTTCTGTTTTTTTTTTTTTCTTTAAAGACTCTTAGAATTTCATAATATTCACCTCCTTTCCAGGGACTGCCCACAGTTAGGGGTAGACCAGAAACCAAAGTGCAAATCCAGCTCATCTTCAGAGAGTCAGAAATGCAGCCAGTCTACTGGCCTCTTTTCCACCGAATGACATCTTTCTTCTCATCAAACCCGAGCCCAGCCTCATCGTACTGATTCTCAGACTATTGTGTGCCCGATCTCCTTTCCACAGCCTCCTCAAGTCACAATAACAATAGGTCACATGTAAATAGGATTTAAAATTTTTTCAAACAATCTGAGGTTATCTTGGTTGCTCAATGCAGTCTTATGGGGTATATGATAAGGTTGAGGCAGTTCCATTTTAGGGATGGGAAGAAGATGGAAATCAGAAGGTTAAACGAACATCCCACTGATATTACCAAACCAGTGCTCGTTGTTCTGTGTTCTTTCTAAAGAGCATATTTCTGAGTAAACAAAGCAAGGCAGGACTTGACGTTCACAACCCACTCTCCTTTGTTTTTCTCTGAATCTGCTGAAACTTGTCACCCATCCCATATCTTTGAGCAGTCATCTGAAGGGCAGTAAATATTAATTACAGGTAAGAAATGTAAAAAAGTAATGAAAGCAAGTGTCCTGATGTACCAGACCATGTGCCAGATTTTTTTCTAGACCAGTTAGAGAGCCTGATAAGGTACCTTCTTTACATATTTGTGTTCACTGCCTGAATCCAGTTTGCTCTCCCATAAGCTGAATTTACTCTAAGAGTCACAAGGAAGATCTGCCTCTGGGTTCCTGTCTTGACTCCCAGCTCAGGCGTCCATCCACACTCGGCACAATGCCTTGGCTTCTCCCCAGCCCTCTTGCACTCACTCTTGGTCGATTCCTAAATACCATCAGGCAGGCTCGTGGGGGTGTGAGGAGTGGAGCCTGTCTTAATCGCAGGCATCTCTGCGGAGCCCTTGGTCATCCCCTCAGAGGACTGAGGGCCAGTTCCAGACCTGCAGGGATTGTCTGCTTGGGGAGGGATCTCACTCAGGCTTAGCTCTTACTCCCAAGGGAAACGACATTCTCCGTGCTTCAGGGCAGGCAGACACATACTCTGCCAAGAGTCCTGCCATTCCATGTCCCACAGCTCTGTCCCCTGGAGATTTCACACACGCACATGCACATGCACGTGCGCGCGCGCACACACACACACACACAGAGGGATGGGCCCATGTCCAGAATACTGGGGAACTGGGATCTGGTTCTACCTCCTCTCTTGACCTTATTTTCCTCAAAAATAAAATGAGGGAGATGGTTTAGACCTCTGAGAGCCCTCACAGCTTCCCACGTGGGTGTAGAATCAGGGCCCCATCAACCATCAGGGATAGCTGGGAGCCGGGCAGGGGGGACACCCAGGATTTGGGCAAGTCTCTTCTCTTGGTGGAAATGGAGTTGGGAGCATGGACCTTCTACTGACCCAGGAGGGGCTGGACTTCTCCCAGTGGTGATCCTGGGCCCTGGACAGCCAGGAGGGGACAGAGGGATTTGGCTGGGACCAACAGGGTCCAGCATTTCTACTTGGGAAGTCTATACACCTTCTCCATGGCTCTTTTTTTCTGAGCTAAATATAATTATCCCCCACCATTCATCTCAAAGATGCAGCTTCCTCCTCTGAGATGGCTAATGAGTAACAGGGCAGGTCCTCCCTAGACTCCAAAGGGCTCCAACGTCCCCCACTCAGGCCCCCCCGGGGCCCTGCCCTGCCCAGCATAGCGGAGTCTATCACTATGGCTCGTGGCCCTCAGGCTCCTTGGTGCTCCCCACCTCCCCTTTTTTTGGCTTCCCTGGTGGTTTAGACAGTAAAGTGGAAGATCCCCTGGAGAAGGAAATGGCAACCCACTCCAGTACACTTGCCTAGAAAATTCCATGGACGGAGGAGCCTGGCAGGCTACAGTCCATGGGGTCGCAAAGGGTCAGACACGACCGAGCCACTTCACTTCACTTAACTTCCTCCCCTTTTAGGACCTGTCATTGTGCTGTTGTTAATTACTCACATGTCTGCTTATCTCGTTGCACTTGGAAATCCTCAGGACAGGTCTGGGTCTTTCTCCTCTGTGGGACTTTAGTGACCAGCCAAGCACAGTCAATGTGAAACAGATGAAGGAATGAATAATTCAAGCCTCAGACAGATCTTCAGTCCACCACTGCTGCTGTCCTTTCTGACTTGAGGACAGGACATGGGATATCCCCCTGTGGTGATCTCCACATCCCTGTCACAGCCTAACGCCTGCCCCCACCCCTTCTCTCTCACAAACGGCCAGAAAGTAGGACAAAGCTCTCAGCAGCTCTGCCCTGTTGTACTGCCTCACAGCTGAGCACGTGACCCATTCATTTTCAGGGCTCCCGGCTCCCCGCTGCGAGCAGCAGAACTAGAGGAGCGAGGCTGCCAGAAGCCCTGAAGAGTCTCCACCACAAATGTTCACCCGCCACCCCATGCCCTCCAGACACAGAATCTTAGGCCAAAAAGGCCCCAAAAGGTCATTTAACAAAACCACCAGCTCTCCCCTCCCCTACATAGGCAACACAGTTTCATGGAAAGACTCTTCACTTGATCTTAGCCAAAAGGCTGAGAAGCAATCATGGAAAGATTCTTAAGCAAGGAATCAAAACCCCCGAATTCTAGTCCTGTAACTCATCCCTGTCACGCTCTTCATTTGTAATGTGGTCATATGTTTGTATCTGCTGATCTCAAATGGATCATTAAACTTTTGTTATTTAATGTTGGAATCTTCTTGATTCAAATAAGACACAGGGAGAGTGATTTGAGATTGTTTTTCGATGTGGAAATAGTACACATTGTATTTGAATTCCTGTAGGTGGAGCAGTTTAGTAATGAAAATATAGACATGCATATACATGGACACATTTACACAAGCTCTTTCTCTGTACAGTTATAACATGAGAGGGTGTTTGAACCCTTCATGGGTGAAACAGTCCCTCAGCTGAATGTTGATCGTCTTTGTCATGTTCATCTGGACTCTTCAGACGAAGGCACTTGTTCTCCCCGAATCTTGGGGTCTTTGAAGACAGAGCTGAGAGGGGCTTCCCCGGGGGCTCAGTGGTAAAGAATCTGCCTGCCAAGCAGGAGACACAAGAGATGTGAATTTGATCCCTGGGTCAGGAAGATCCACCTCCCTCCCCACAGGGAGGAAATGGCAACTCAGTCTAGTATTCTTGCTGGGATAATCCGGTGGACAGAGAAGCCTGGTGTGCTACAGTCCCTGGGTTCAGACACAACTCAGTGACTAAACAACAACAAACTACAGAGAAAAGTGAGAAGCTTGCCCCCTCACCTGCCTCTGAAGATGACCTTTGCCACCAGATCCCACCTGTGAAACTGTGCTGGGGAGGTGAGTGTGCTCATCTCATGAAAAATCTCTCAGGCCAGATGCCACCTGCTTGTTTCCCACAGCAATTCTGTGCTGTCTGAAAAATCACGCTGTCCTTGGTGATGCAGCAATAAAAGACTCAGATGAAATTTTAACACCACCACCAACAACAAAAAAGAAAACCATTCAAACTAGCTCTTGTGTGAGGCCACAGGCCGTACATGCTCACAGTCATGTTGCACTAGCTCAGCCTGTCAAGCTCCCTCTTCCGGAACCGCCCGCAGATTCCTCCTCCATGAAGCGCCAATAGTGCCATCTTCTCAGAAGATGCACGGTCATGTACGTAAAAGCCAGGAAAACCCAGGCCCCTAGAAGCTCAGAAATCCACCGTGGTCCCGGGCTCCATCTGTTACTTGGGGGTGAAGTAAGGAGCTTCCAAACTCAGGAGTCTGCAGCCTGTCTCTGTGTCTGAGGACAAGAGTGAGGCACCAGGCCTTGTCTTCAACGAGAGCTGTTAACCTCCCTGAGGTCAAGGCCCAGGACTCCCAAGTTTCTCCTCAGGGAATGCTCTCTCTCTGTCTGGAATGGGGTGTTGCTCATCTGACATCTCTCCTCAGACCACTCTTTCTCCGTACAAACGAGCCCACCTCCCCTGGCCCCCAGCAGTGAGATATATCCTCCCGAATATGCCTGTCTGTCTGACATGAAGTGGATCATGTGATCCGTCTCCTCTGAGGGCGCCTTCTCGCTTTCTGAGGAGGAGGGCCATCCTTTCCTCTCACAGGTTTTTAGGCGTCTGTGGGTTCATGCGGTGAAATGATGTTTACCAGGGTTCACTGCAACTTCTCTGTGTTCCACTCACTCAGAGCCTTACCTGTTGGGTGGCTGCGGTGGTGCCAGCGGTCATGTGACTGCAGGGAAAGGTAGTGAACTGCTGGAGGGGGCTCCCGGGAACCCCAGCTCTCTACCTGAGGCCGTGGTTCTCAGTCTGGATACACAACAGTTTCACTCAGGTGCCATTACAGAGTCAGCTAAGGATCCACCCTAGACAATCCATCAGACCCTATAGGTGGTGCTTGGGGGCCACATGTAATTCTTAAATGCTGCCAAGATGTCCCTGAAGACCACAGGGCTAGGGAAGACGATTCCTGAAGGGGGAGGACACCCGCCTGGACTTGGACTGAGAACTGGTCCAAGCTGGTCTGAGCTCCCCCAGCTTCCTCACAGGAGCAACCCAGTGACAACAACAAGTGAAATGTGTGGCTTTTCCAGTTTCCTGTGGTGCTCACCTGGAACCGCACCACACCTGCAGCAGGCATCATACCACCAAGTTTCTCCTCAGGGAATGCTCTCTCTCTGTCTGGAATGGGGTGTTGCTCATCTGACATCTCTCCTCAGACCACTCTTTCTCCGTACAAACGAGCCCACCTCCCCTGGCCCCCAGCAGTGAGATATATCCTCCCGAATATGCCTGTCTGTCTGACATGAAGTGGATCATGTGATCCGTCTCCTCTGAGGGCGCCTTCTCGCTTTCTGAGGAGGAGGGCCATCCTTTCCTCTCACAGGTTTTTAGGCGTCTGTGGGTTCATGCGGTGAAATGATGTTTACCAGGGTTCACTGCAACTTCTCTGTGTTCCACTCACTCA